GCTAAGTTCTTTGCATTCCTCAAGTTCTTCAGATGATGAGTTTCAAAATACTTCAGCAATATAATAAAATTCTTTGATAACTTTGCTTCGCATCTCCATCTCACACACAGAATGAAGGCCAGCGCCTGCAGAGTTCACACTACCTGCAGGACCATGTCCTTGAGGGCTGTGCTACAGGGACCTAAGCCAGTGATCCTGTAGGGAGCGAAGATGCCTCAATCTTCATCATCCTCCCATGACCCGTGTGAGCAGGAAGAGGACCCAGAATCCCCTCATCAATCACTCTGCCCCTTCAGTGCTGTTGTGTGGCAGTACTGGAGCAAGCAGGARGGCATGTCCCTGAAGGACATGCATCATTTGCTGCAAGGGCCACTGAGATATATGGTCAATCTCAATGGGATGGGAAGAGTGAGGTTTGCACTGGACTTCAGCCTGCTCCTGACAAACCAGTTCTCAGTGGTGTCGCACCATTGCTCCGCAGTGATCTGCTAAGCACCACGATGAAGCAGAGCCATGASCAGAACATTGGCTTTCCTCACACCTGTGAGCACACAGCCAGATTTCCTGTCCCCAAAATGGATTTAAGCAGAGAAAAAAAAAATAACCCAACAAATCAAACAAAAAAAGTTAATCTAGACCTCATCAGATCCTGTGAATTATTCCTTATGTTCTGTCTTACAGACCTTCTAGCTGGGGGGGTTGGAAATGACCAAGTGTAGTGACAAACTATTAACAGAAACTGAATCTGAATGGGAAACTCTATGTTAAAACCAAAGCAATAACATGTTTTATAAAACTAAAGCTATCTCTTTAATGCAGRTTYCTGAAGAAGAAGTAATTGGCAGACMATATTTCAAGCATGAAATGAAGCACCTCGGGAGGTAAAGGCAGGCATGATGGTTTCCATCAGCTGAGAGCTTCACCTTGTACTTCCAGTCATTTTGAATCTCCMAAGCAGACACATCCTAAAGGAGAGGTTGTTTCATGTAACTCTCAAAGACACTGATGAATCAATGAAGTTCTGAGAAACACAATTGCCATTAGGGCTCATAGGAAAAAACATCCAACAAAATAAACAAAACCATTTCTTTTTCCTATTAACCGGGATTCACCAGGCAAATGCTTCAGTTRGCATCTCCCCCAACCTTGCCTTTTCTAGTTTTATTGATGTAAAATACCCTTCATCCTCTGCTTATATGCAAGTGTGTCTCAACAGCATCTTCCTCTGTTGAGTCCTGTGATTCAATCCCTCTCTATCTGCTAGACTTTAAAAGGTACAAGGGCTATTTAATTGAAAATTGAACATTCAGCACTGAGGACAATGGATAAATATGCCAGCACACATACCTAACTTGTGGGATTAACCTCCTTTTATAGCTTTACAAGAACTCATTTTAACAAAGAAGATAAAGCACTATGTTTAGTGACTAACTCTACCATTACTAAGGGGAATCAAATTCATTAGAGCAGATACAACCTGAGTGAAATCCTGATTCCAATAAAAGCAGTGCATAAACCCCTGCTGCTGTAAGCTCCTGTAAGCACCTTGCCATGCAGGTAGCAACCAGGCCTGCAGCTGGACTGCTGCCTCCCATGACGTGTTGAGTGTCTCCTGTGCACAGGGTGGTTGCTCCTCACCAGACGCGACCCTGCATTACGAGAGGGAAGAGGACAGCAGGGATGAGGTCTCCCTCCTCCCCTGCAATGATCCCAGGTAGATCGGCACCTCTGGGAATCACAAGTGCTCTGTTCTGGAGGACCTAAACCAAAAGGGCAGAGCAGACCCAGCCCTTAGGCAGGGTTTGGGAGAGAACAGCAAACAACTTGTCCACAGCCACAGTGGAAATTTCTACAGCAAAACCCTCCTGGCTCCCAGCCTGGTGCTGCGAAATCAAGGGCTGCTTTCTTTTTTTCAGGTACATCAGTGAAATGGATTTTTCAGTTCTTATGATTTTAAAATATGTTTGTAAAGTGATAAATGCATTTAATGTCTATGTTTAGGAATAAACTTCCATATTTGCAACAGAAAGCAAAAATGCAAAGAAGAGGTATTCAGTCTTACTGAGGTTTTAATCTACCTTCAAAGGCTCAGTTCAGAGAACATGCTTCACTGCAGTTACTSTAACGGACAGGACAGAGAACCTGTGTTTTTTCACAAATCTACACTTTATGGTTGATGAGAGACTAAACCCAGCTCTAATTAACCTGATTTATTTTTTCAAAGCACAGACATATTGCATTGGGATTCTGTGTCTGGTGTCCATCATCGAGATAATAAAAATTGTTGAGAATCCGCAGGGATCCTGAACAAAATAATCTTCATAAATAAAGAGCAAACTTGCAGCCTAAGCCCTCAGCCTTTAAAACACTAACACAAATCCCGCTTCTCTATTTTTTCCTCAGCTTCTAGAGCTTACTTTCATTTACAGCAGAACAGAATGAGGAAACTCCTACCAAAAATTCTCAGCAAACGCCCATTCAGCAGCTTGGCCTCAGAAGGGCCAGCAGAGCCCCAGRTCTGTGCACATTTGAGGAACAGTGAGAGAGTGACAGAGATATCAGCACTGAGCCAGACAAAACACAGGTCTAAACGTATACGTAAACCCACACAGTTAGGTAATTGCAGAGATTAAAGGACTTTGCAAAAGCAGTATGAGGTCTGATTCAGGGATGTATTTCTTTCTTAAGAGGACCTTTTCCAGTTCAAAGCTCCTGCAGCTGCAGAAGGCTCCCTGGACACGCGGAATGGTCCCCCTTTCCCAGTGCTCCCAAACCCAGACCTTGTCCTCCTCACCTCTGGTACCGGGATTCGGGAAGGGCAGGCCCGGTGCCAAACGCCCGCTCAAGTGATTAGCTCAAGATCACAAAGGAAAATACCTGCCAAATCAGAGCAGACACAGACCCCGCGGCCTTGAGCTCTGCTTAGAGTCTGACTGCAGGAAGAAACCACAGAATCACACAAATCATAATTATTGAACATCCATTTGCACATGACATCAGTTATTAATAAAACTTCTTTTTTGATTAGTAATATTCTTTCGGATCCTGTACTTGGTACCTGATTTATCTTTAGTACTTCTTAAATCACTGTGAAGTTATCACATTGAATTCAACAAAAGACTATTTACACCCTTAAAACAAACACCACATTATAYGATGCTCAAGAGGGAGCCACGTTAGAGGGTTTTTAACTAATCAGACACAATTCACTTCTCACAGTCAGCAAACAGGCTCGAATAAATGCACCCAATGTCTGGCAGAAAAATATTTGCCTCAGTCTCTGCCACGCAGAGCTCCACCAYGCCTGGAAAAGCAGCAATTGAGCATTTCCCTTCTTGGGCACAAGTAAACAGGCAGCCAGTTTATGCTCTATTTGCAAAAGTTAAATTAAATATCCAGCGGTATAGCAGGAACACCTGAGGGGGGAAAGGAGACCGCAGCATCGCCACATCCTGGCCGGGCAGGACGTGTTACCCACAGCTATTGGGTGCAGAAGATGAGTGAGACAAGACAACTTGGCTCCAAAAACAGGACAACTTGGCTCCAACCAACATTAACAAAATCTTCAGCAGAAGCAATTCGGGCCCCTTGTCTTTGCTGCTTCATACGTGAAGACAAGGATGAACTGAAAAAAAAAGCCACAGAGGAAGGTAGTTATAGCAATGGGTGCTGAGCACTGATGTAAGCACAATCCTCATTTCCTTTTGAAATTTAAGGAGAAAAGGAAAAATCCAAGCGGTGGCAAATTCTCTGTAGGTCGAGGAAGACTATTATTTGCTGAAATGATACTTTCCCAGCAGACATCCAACTTTAATAAATGCTCCTTTTCATAGTGAAAATAACCCAGCAGAGCCTCTCCAATGAAAACATTTTTCCCCTGGCACAGCCAGGCTTCACTTCTAGCCTCAGACGGCCTCGTTGCTTTGAGAACAATCAGCCACTTCTAGTGATTAAAAGACAGAAAAGCAAAAATGAATTCTCTTCAAAAGGTGTTTTTTTTTTACCACTGTCTTTCATAACATGTGAACAAGAGGACATAATAAAACAGGACCACTCTGCACCGCTTCCTTTCTGCAGTTTTATTGAGTGTAAATCTAAATAATTAACACAAATATAYAAGGTTACTCCATTCTATCAAGATTAAAAGACTTTACAGTATCAAACTCCCTGAGGTACAATACAAGCATTAGGTAACTTAAAGGAAAGGTTCTCATACTTCTTTATTCCATTTAAGYCATAATCAAAAAAACAATGTTAATTCTTCCCATTGGAAAAGAACATAACAGAAGAACAGTCGCCTTAATTTCCTCCACCACCACCCCAACAATTCTAGAAATGGAATAAACCACTTTTCCAAAATGCATTTGAAAAGATATTTCTATTTAGAATAGAAAATAAATTTGCTTTTTTTTTTTTATGGATGGATTAAATCTATCATCTGCAGCATCCTGTGGAGGCTGGTACATGATCTACAATCAACCTATAATCAACAAATTTATTTCTTAATACCTAATTTGGGGTCTAAAAGCGGGATTTAGAAAAGATAGTCCTTCGCTTACAAAATTAAGCCTACCATTAGTTTAGTGCCCGTCAGTCTTGTCGAGCAAGCCAAAAATCAGACTAGGTTTATGGAGATGCTGCCTAAGTGACTTCAGCACCAAGTCTGAACCTCCAAACCTAAAGGGAAATCTCTGCAGGGCTCACACAGATGGTTTGAAACTGGGCAAGGCAGCTTTTCTTCCTACACAAGCACTTTGCAATAGTTTTTACAAAACTGTAGCCCTTTCTTTATAAAATTCCTGAAAATGATCAACATATTACTCAGAAACACATATTTTTTTTATTCAAAAAATCACAATAGTGATTTATTTTTCATTTTCAATCACAATTGTGATTTTTTTCATTCACATCTCTTCTGATACAATTCAGGAAACAGTCGTGCAATTGCAAAACTCCAGTTACTCTGTGATTTCAATTCCTTCTTTTCTCAGAGRCACTGAGAAAACAGGGCAACCTTTGGAAATGGCCTGACGTGTCCCTACGGATTACACAGAAGCTTTCAGGGAATGCTAGAGAATTTAGAAATACTGAAAAAACCCTCATTTTTAGCAACCTGTTGAAAAGCAGTACAGCTTTAAAAAGCGGTTACAAAGCTAGCTCACTACTTTAAAGTACAGATTTTTCTATACATTTAAGTGAACTGTGATTAAAAAGTAGATGAAAAAAAGGATCCATTGAAGGGAGATGCTCTGAGCTGCCCGAGCACCAGGACATTGTGACTGAAGTTTCTGTCCAGATCTGAGCTCACAAGCAACCAAAATTCAGCCCCCACTAACTAGGAAGATCCTAGCCCAGCAAAACAGCAGATTTTGGAAGGGTTGGCAACACTTCCTGCAAGTTTCCTCTGCACRCACCAACTGAGGAAGTTTCGGCTTGAGAATCTTATACTTAGAAAAAATAGCCCCATTAGTCCACCTAGCATAACCCCAAAAAAATGTAGGCTATGATTTTCAAATATCTCTAGAATATTCTAATGCTAGGAGGGAAATAAGTTAATCTTTTGTACCCATACCCCAGAGAGCAACAAAAAAAATCTGCAGTTGTGAGCCTTTGCCTGCTTTTTCCCACATGGCACTAGTTTTGCAGGGAAAACATGCAGACTCCTGTAAATATCAACTAATTCCTGAACAAAGCAAGGGTGGGAATATTCCAACTTTATTTCTACATTGGTTTTGGGGTTTTTTTTCCTTTTTTTTTTTTCTCCTGTACTTACAGCTCCTCTCTAGTTTCCTACAGGATAAACACGTTCTTGGCTTTGGTAGGCGGTGGAAGAAATACTTCATTGTGTCTGAGGTGTCTATTCCACTCAGATCCAGGCTCTTCCATGCACTTTTTCCTAGCTGGAGTTTTTATTTGGCTTGAGGAGTCATTATTTGGCTGTTGCAATTTAAAACATTGCTAAATAAAAAGTGCTATTAGATCATGACCCTCTTCCACTCAACGCTTGAGGCTCCAAATCCGTCTGCAAAAGCTTCTTTATGCTCCTGCTGCTCATGGTGGGGWGCATTTGCCTTCGTGTAGCAGAACTCTGTCTTCCGAGCACAGAAAGCCGGCGCTGATCACGTATCTCCCGGGGCAGGGGAATGTTCGGCGGTCCAGGAAGCTGTTGTTGCTCACCAAATTGGTTTCAGCTGCACAGCTGAAGAACTTGGCGTGGGTGAGACACGTCTGGCTGYGCACAACCCCAAAGGTTTCGATCCGCGGGGCTTCTGGGAGCTTARCTCTAGTCTTGAAGAGCTGCATGATGGTCCTTGTATTTTCATTGTGTAGAACGTGTGGGAAAAAAACTCCCTTTCATCAGCTTTTCACAGCTTGTTTGTCCCCATCTGTGGGGTCATCTGACCAACGAGAGGCCTCCAGGAATGGCCATGGCCAAGCGGTTGAGCTCCGGGAGCTCCCGCACTCAACCTGCACGGAATCCATTCGTGGGGAGGCCAGCAGAGCCTCCCCCCACGCAAACATCAGCTTTCGAACCAGCTGGCCAGGTTGTGCACGGTCTTCACCTGGTCCCCGGCGGCGCGCACGGCCTCGCACACCTTGCAGARGTGCTCGTCCCAGAAGGAGGTGACGTGCACCTCGTACTTGTTCCTCCAGGCGAAGTAGCGCCGGTAGCTGGGCCTGTTCCTGTCGAGGAACTTCAGGTAGGCGGCCAGGCGCCGGGGGCTGGCGAAGTCGTCCACGTGGATGAAGGAGTCGGGCGGGATGAAGCGCTCGTAGTTGGCCCGGCGGGGGCCGAGCACGACGGGCACGGCGCTGGCGGCGAAGGCGTTGCGCCAGAGCTTCTCGGTGATGTAGTCGGTGTGCTGCGAGTTCTCGAAGGCCAGGTAGAACTTGTAGGCGGCCACGGTGGGCACGACGCCGCCGCGGGCGAGCGCCCGGCCGCGCGCGCCGTACACGTCGATGGGCAGGTGCTCCCGCAGCTGCCGGTAGTAGCGCACCCGCGCGTGCTCCTCGTTCCAGTTGCTGATGACCCAGGCCACGAGGCGGCTCTTGCGGGGCAGGCGGAAGGGCCGTGGTGCGGGCGGCGCGCGCAGCGAGCCGTAGGGCACGAACACGTCCGAGTCGGCCCGGTACGACATGGTCCAGTTGAAGAGGCCGGCCAGGCCGCGCAGGCCGGGCGAGTGCGAGGGCGACTCGAAGTTCATCCAGACCCAGATCTGCGCGGGCGGGCGCGGCGGCGGCGCGCGGGGCAGC